CAGGCATTGTCCAGAGGATCACAAAGGCTGCACTAACAAAGCACACATCTGCATTGCACAATGCATTCCCATGTGAAGATAGCAAAACAACTCCAAGCAGCACCAGAGGCAGCACTACCACTTAGTGCTCCAGCCGCCTCTGCCTGCTCTGTGAAAGGCAGCCTAGACTTACAGCCGCCTACCAGAAGAATTAGAGCACACTCCAAGTATCTCCACACAGCACTGCATTCTTACGCAGAAACTCTACAACTGAAGTTTCAAAGTAGCTTGTAGGGACACCATATTCAGGCAGAGAGGTTTGTTTTGTTGATACGTACACATACAGACAGCTTATATACATACACGAACATTTGTTTTTATGTGTTCACATACTTACCCCCTACCCTTCAGTTATAACTGCAGATCTGCTGTTAGCATTATGCATTTGCTACCAGAGATCAGTTACCAATTTTCCCATATTACAATGAAATTTTAAAAAAGAAGACATTTGTCTCAAACTAGCACACAGCACACAATTTCCTGGCTTATGCAATCCAGTTACATATGAATTTAAAACGCTTCCTGTTTCAATCCACAGATTACTACTGTGACACTTACTCGGAAAAACAAAACAGTACACAACAATGTCTGATGTTCATTTTGCCTGCACAAGGCAAACAAATCCTACATCCAAACTCCGGCAGACCCATACCACCAGGACATTTTAAACCCCATCTAGAACTTTAAAAATCATGGTACAAAATCAGTTTTGTTAGTTTAGTATTTCATATGCAAGTATTTACCGTAATTTGAAGTTTAAGAATCACATTAGTATCACCCAATTATGATCCTTCAGACACAAAAGCTAGTTTTGCAATAAAGTCCTTTGTGTAGCTTAGTCCACTTAGCTTCCCTGAGCATAAGCCCTTCAAACCAAGTGAGCTGAATGACCAAGTGCAACAAGGACAAAATACTGTCCTTTCAAGACACACCACCTTCCCCTGCCACTTCCCATTTAGACTGAAGAGTAGCATTACTAAACTCTTCTA